CAAAACACAAAGGTGTTTTGAGCATTTGAAGAGATAAATAGTATTTTGACAAAACAAATGGTGTTTTTCTTTTTTTTTTATTTGAAAGCCACATGGTGGTGTTTTTAGATTTCTCAAGAAAGAAAGAAATGATTTTTTTGCCTTTTTCTTTTAATGAATCAAATTTGACCAAGTGCTTGACAAGTTGCACATTTTCTGTATAAAAATTTTTGAAGGACAACAATATTCAAATACCATGAACTATTGCAATTTCATATAAATATTCTCAAACTATTGATTTATTTCAACTTATTCTCAATTAAAAGTTAGGGTGTAAATTGACACAAAATAATTAGTTCAGAGCAAGTTGATCTAGAATTAATAGTTCGGGAGTGTTTATAAAATTATAAATAATGACAAATCACTATTTTGTTGATATTATGACGAATGTATTTTACTATTATAAAATGAAAATTTTGGTTAAAAAAATTTGCTTCTCTTAACAAAGGTATTTTACTATTTTGTTAAAAATATACAAATATTTTCAAAAAGAGGATGAGAAGAATGCTCCTTTAATGGGGGAAGATTTTTTATTTTTTATATTTTTTTATAGAAAAGTGGGGGTGTAAAGATTTATAATCCACTCTTATCTCCTTTTAAAGGCAAATTAAGATGGCACAAATATTTGAAAGGAGAAAAAATGAGGAAAACCGAAAAAGTAAGGGGACGCAAAATTTTCATTAATAATTCACTAGAGACCAATGCAATGGCCGTACAAGGATTGCTTTTGGTCCGAGAAGGCCGAATAAAACGGCCCAAAACTGGCTTATTGGGAGAACAGATAAATAGAAGTATGTGGGGAAAAAAGAAAAAATACATGATAAAAAAATATTATTTATATCATTACACTTAAAAATAAATAACTATTATTTAGTTAATAAAAATAAAATAAAAAATTATAATGACATTCTTTTATTTAAAATGACATAAATAATAAATTTGTATAAAATAACGACAAATCATGTATTATTTTGGGACTTAACCAACATAAATTTTGGGTATAGAAAAAAGGCATAGTCCATATTTTACATAAAAAAGAAAACTTCAGAACTCAGAAATGCCTCTGTATCTCTTCTTCATTTTAAAACTGTCCCGTCTCCGTTGTCATTATTTTGTTTTATATGTTTCCAGTAATGTGATTTGTAGAATCAAAACCTACTATTTAATATAATTAAGAGTTAATCCCATAAATGATATATGAAGTTTACACTTAATACTACTTAAGCCTTTGACTTTTTTAAATGTCTTACATTTATTCATTAAGTCATTACTTTGTTTCAGTTGCGGGCATTCAATTAACTTGGTGTTAAATATTTAATAAAATATGTCGAAATTAGAGACTCAAATTGTACACATCTAAAGTTTAGAGGCTAAACTAATATTAAAAAGAAAAAGTTAATTTTCACAAATAGGCCTTAAGTTTTAGATGTTTCCAATTTATTCCTAATTTCATAGATTATATTAAATATTTAACGCATTGTTTAAGGAAGAACTCAAACTAAAACAGAGTAATAAAAAAGAGATTAATTGTGGGACATTTAAAATAAGATACTAAAGTGAAATTAAAAGTAAATCTTAGAGATCATTTAATTAATTAACCCTACAATTAATTTCAAACACGTTCATTTTTACAATTATGGTCAAAACGATATTATTTACTACAAGTTTTAGCCATATTTATTAATTTAGTTGTGCAGCATGAATGGTCCATATAGATTTTTTTTTTGTCCTGTTAAAAAAAACTTTCGTAATGCCACAAGTGGCATTCAACTTGGGATTTCTACCACTTTCAAGAGTTTCAAATTTCTACCACTTTAAAAGATCGACAAAATGTTTTCAACCGACAGCAACAGTGACCCCGAGTCGGTCACCGACACAGGTTCTCGAAAATAACCTAATAGATTATCACCGGCAATCTAGCTGATTATTTTTAATTTATAAAATAAGAGAAATGAGACAAATACCCTTTAAATTGCATGAGTCAAGATTTTTACTCATCACTTTTAATTAGCAATCCTTTTAGTCAAATAATTATACTATTATAAATGTATTAATTAAGAATAAGAGGTAAAAATCTAGATTGAACAGTGATAAGCACTCAATCTAAATTATATTCTCCGTTTAAATTGAGTTAGCCCCCATTTATTTCACTGGTTTAGTTATGTTAAGCTCAATTTGAACTGGTATTTAGTAAGCATGTAGTTTGAATTATATTCTTCATTTGAATTGAGTTAAATAGTTCAATTTAGAGTTTAGCTCCTCCTCAAGTTCAATTGTTAAAACCATTTTTAAATAGTAAAAAGGTTCCCCCGACCAAACACAAATTCAAATTTTATTCACTGTTCAAATTAAAACTTTAACTGCACATCCAACGTCAATTCAAAACTACAATTTAAACCACAGTTTGAATTTTTCTATTCAAATAAAAAAGTTCAAATCAACAAAATTCAAACCAGCGAACAAAGGGGGGCTTAAACTGTTCAACTTAGAGTTTAACTTTCTCCTAAAGTTCAACATTTTAAACCATTATTGAACAGTAAAAGGCGTCAACTCTCTCTGCTTTTCACACTTACCAAATACAAATTTGAATTTTATTCCCTCTTCAGATTAAACTTTAAACTATTCATCCAAACGTCAATTCAAACTACAATTTAAATTACACAATTTGAATTTTTTTGTTCAAGTAAAAAAGTTTGAATCAATAAAAATGTGAACCAGTTAACCAAACTGGAGCTAGGCTTCTTTGGCACTAGTAGCAGAGTGTGTAATCAAGTAAGTCTCACAATTCGTGTTCGTTATTATGTTCGGGATGACATAGTTATAGCGCGACATGATTAGAATGAGTATAAATACGATATGATTAGGGTCCGTTTAGTTCACTGATTCAAATTTTTAATTCGAGTTGATATGTGATTTTATGTGAGAGCTTTTTACTGTAGCAAAAAAGTAAAATGTGACTGTTTCTAAGAGCTTTTTATTGTAACAAAATTTGAATTCTAAACTCGAATCGGCGAAATAAATAGGGCCTTAAATGTGTCAGAAACCCATACACAATCATAAAACGTTGATCACATAAGTGACAAAACACAACATATGAACACATTTATTAAACGAAGGCGAAAATATCCTGTGTATTAGAGAACTAATAGTAATGGTGAAAACTTTTATTTCTTAAAATTTTAAAACTGACATTATTAACTACTAATTACAACTAAATCAAGCAAGTACATGATAACAATAATGTAATTTCTCCAAATCCTTATAATAATTAACAAACACGTAAAAATATCTTTAAAAAAAATGTTTTAGCACAATTGCCACCTAAACTTACCGTGGTTTAGCAAATTATCTCTTGATTTATTTTTTAATTTTGACAATTAACCCCCAAACATGTAAAATTGTTGCAATGTGCTCCATTTTACTAAATTTTCTTAATTTTTTTATTAGATTTAAGAGATTAAAAGTTAAGAAATTGAAAGATTTGTGTTACATTTAAATTAGAATGATGAACTTTTTCACCGAACGTGTTATTTTGACACTAATTTAACATAATCATCTTAAAAATGAGGTATTTTATAATAATTTTATAAGTTGAAGCGACAACTCACTAAAATTAATAGTTTAAGGAGCAAGTTGCTAAAATTATACAAATTAAGAAGTAAATATGTAAAATACCTAAAAACCGCGAATATGAAACTACTAAATAGGTAAAAATGTCCAAGTACTTCATAACTAAGTTTCAAAATAAGAGGGGCGACAATTTCATTGAGAAGGACCTTGGGATATTATATATTTAATTTTATAATTATGAAGTCTGAATCCCATCAATAAAATATTTGTTAATACTGCATGGAACATACACAGCAGGGTTGTGTCAACACGTTTACAACTCGTTTACTTAAAAGTATTAAGCTTGTCTAGCTAGTTGGCCCAAAACCAATCCAGTTATTTTGTATTACACTAGTTTTTTTAGCACGAGCACGTATTCCTGTGTTCCTTACATTGAAACTTTATTATTTACTAAATAGAGAAATTTATTTATACAACTATTTAAGAATTGTTATTATTTATTTTAAAAACAAATATATGTAAAGATAAATTTTAATGTGATAAAAATTATATACAAAACAATTAAATAGAGACACATTTAAAAAAAATTATTTTAATCATTGACAAAAATAAAATAGGAATGCATGTGAAAAAATTTACTTTCCCAGGAGTAAAACAAGAAAAAAATATATTTTTTAAAAAATAGATATAAAATTAAAATGTAAAAAAAAACATTGGAAACATTAAAAAGTAAAAAAAAAAAAAAGATAAAAAGAGAAAGATGTGTGAGAAGGGGTTGTCACCTAAAAAAGAGTATTGATTTTTTTTTTTTTTATGTTTTTTAGATATGTCAATTAAAAGTGATTCAAATATTAAAATTTACTTCACATCATTTTCGAGCTATATTACTGTGTGCGGTGAAAATGGCCACCCTAATTAAATCCCTCTAAAATTTTTAAGACCCAAGGGCTTAAAGTTGTTTACCAATAGAAGCAAACTTCCGGTTAAAATAATTTCACATAACCACCGAGGGTCGTGGTATAGTGGTAAGGACGCCTTTGTTATGTCTCTTTTACTCATCCTATCAGAGTTTGATATTTAGCACCCACGCATTACTACCCTGCCTCTAGTGGGCCTCCGCAGGCCCCACAGGATGAAAGGGAGTGAATTAATTGAATGGTCAGTGAAATACTAGTTTAAGCCCTTTTTATATATTCGGTAGTTCTCGGAATTACTTGCTATAGCCAAAAGGACTAAGGAACATAAAGTGCACCACCAGATTTCCTTTTTAGAGTAGCAAAAAAATTTACCACCAGATTCCCTTTTTAGAGTAGCAAAAAAATTTACCACCAGATCCCCGGGATTATAATTTTGTTTTTTTTAGCTCTCTCTCTAGAAACCACTTTCTCCCCATACAAATTGGCTGCTTCATGACTATATTTATCAATTACAATTTTGAATCTTGGACTAATCAGAAGGATAGACGCTAACCACCTTTGCAGTTCTTCCACAGCAAACTCAAAATTGCAAGTACAAAAAAGAGTTCAACACTTCATCAAAACAATTGCCTGTGAAAATCAAGGCTTCAAGATGAACAAGAGGCACCCGTAATTCCTAATGGTTAGCGGGCCACTTTCCTTCAACTTGATCAGTTGGTTTGCTAATCAGATTTTTCTTTTACATCACAAGCTCCATTCACTTCTTTGTCTTCCCTTGAAGCCACAGCTCCAGTGACAGCATTACCATGACTACTTGGAGCTACTTTGGCTTTGCTACGGGCCTTCCTGAAGGGACTCGAGAAAAGATTTTCTCCCCCGAGGATGTCTGCACTTTTTGACCTCCTCTGTACATTTAAGAACCCGTTGGCGAGAGCCTCCAAGGCTCTGGCGGTCAATGGTCGGTTCCTTGTGCTTTGCCTTCTATTCACGATGGGGTTCTGCTTTGAAGTATTGGCAGTAGTAGAAGCTTTCAGTGTCTCTGAAACAAGCTCCTTTTCTTTAGAAGAAGAGCGATGACCATATGTATTTGCTTTCTTGCTGCCTTGTACCTCCTCAATTAGCATTTCAGTGTTTCTGGAGTTTAGCAGATCCTCGGGTGGTGGTTTTTGGTCATTCGGTGCTTCAGATTGATGTTTGTCCTCTTGTCCTTCAGACGTGTGCACGGCAGCAGAATTCCGCCTCATAATTTTTGAATGCATATCTTCTTCTGCATTGCTTTCAGCTGGAAAAACAATTGATGACTCCTCATGAGGACGTACTTCAGAAACGTTCTTGCCCATTTCAGATGAGCTGATTGTCCCATGGAGTTTCACTTGTTTTGACTCCAAACCTTGGGAACAATTCTGAGAGAGGTCGGACATCTTTTCCTTCGCACAAGCAGTTAATCTTCGTCTCTTGACGACAGGAACTACAAAATCTGAATGCCCAGATTTTGCTCTCCGTTTAAATTGATGCAGTACAGTCTTCAAATGCTTTTCATCAAAAATGCAAGTATTCTGATCCTGTTGGGTCTCCACTTTATCTGCAGTATCCGAATTCTTTTTTGTTGCCATTTGGTTTTTACAAGCACTGTCACGTATATCCTTGTGGGAATTTGATTTCAAAATTTTTCTTTTACCTTTTGATGGAATATCAGCTGCATCTTTTTCATGCCTCCCTGATGAATCCTCAAAGTTTTCAGTTTTTCTCAAAATAGCAGTCATATCGAAAGCTCTTTTAACTACCACTGGCGAACATCTCAATTCTCTCACCTTTGACGGTTTTCCTTCATGGACTCGACTGGTATCAACAACAGTTAATTTCATAAAAATTGGACCAGTTTTGTCAGACATACCGTTATGGTGCTTGGCCTTTTCACTGTGGAAAGGCTTTTCAGCGGTCTCGAATTCATCCAAATTATCCTCAGAAGAATCCCCTTCATCTCCCGTTGAATGATTGGTCTGTTTGGAAGTTAGTTTGAATTCAGCTGGTAAATGTCTAAGTTCTCTTATGCTGGATGATTTTCCTCCACAAAACAAGCTGGTATCTACAACAGTAAACTTCATATGGCTCGAACTTGAAGTAGAAACTCGAGGTTTAAGGTAGCAATGGCGTCGAGAATCAGATGGATCATCCTGATCTGACCCCACCTCTGGTGACCAGGAATCTTGTTCATTTCGGGCTCCAACAGAAGATTCTTCAGTTTCCAGCTCAAGAAGTTTCGGTTCAGATGCCACTTTGTTCAAGACATCACTAACAGAGTCGAAGTAGTGTTCTCCCTTCACAAGTTTCCTTCTTGAGAATTTCTTTATTCCCGGCACAAGAAAAACCAGGTAGTGTTTGGAGCTGATATAGCCCTGATCTCCTGGTTGCTCGGAGTGCCACCCTTTTGCTAGCAACCGAGGCCAAACAGCTTCCCAGAAGATATCATTGCATCGAGCTTTGCTCAACCGAAACCCTCCAGTTAGTAACTTTACTATGTCCTTGGATGTGAATGAGGAGCAATCCTGACCACTTGGTAAATTGGGGCAAACTAAACTGTCATGATTGCCCTTTCCAGGCTCCATAGCAAAACCTGTGAGATCCTCTTTTCCTTTACCAATTGCCACTGCTTTCACAAGTACAGGAATGC